TTTATAAAACTACTTAGTAGAACCAAAATATAAAGACAAGGTACAGGTAGAATTTTTAATTTTACGTAATGCTCTCTACAAGATTCTGTCTGGTCCATGAAAAGAATAGTCCTAAGGGCTCTTTTTTGCATTACAAAGGCAGCATCCATATTGTATTTATAACTGTGCCCCCATAGTTTAATACTATACCTCAACTTGGACTCAACTAGGGCAAAGTAAACATTTCTTAACTGAGCAATGGTTAGTTCGTCTCTTAAACTTCTCAAGGCATAGCATGCACTGCTGAGAGCGTTAGTAATTGCTTCCAATTCCTGTTTCCAGCTTAAGAGCGAATCAATTTGTACCCCTAAAAATCTCAAGTTTTGTACAATTTCCACATTGTTTCCCACTGAAGTTATTGTAATACTATCCTTATTCCTCACTGTTGATTTGAATAGCATACATTTGGTTTTCTCCACATTGAGTTTTAAATTATTAGTGGAAAACCAATGTTCAAAAGCAGACAGTGCATGATTCACTTTCTTTTCTAGGCCTGTTACGGAGGTATCATTCATAACGGCACTTGTGTCGTCAGCAAAAATAACCATTTTGATGTCTGGTACTATCTTATACATATAGTTTGCTAAGTCATTAATAAATATAATAAAAAATATTGGTCCCAAGACTAAGCCTTGTGGAACTCCCTTTTGTACTTTGACAAGTTTAGATTTGTTAATTATTTCATGTTCTCTTTCAACTGATTTAATTTCGACGTACTGTGATCTATTCTGTAAATAAGAACTGAAAATCCTTAAAACATTATCCCTTATCCCATAGTGCTCCAGTTTGTCAAACAGGATTTTATGTTCAACAGTATCAAAGGCAGAGCTGAGATCTAGGAATAGTCCTGCCACTTTTTCTTTGTTATTCAGTTTGCTAACCACATAATCTACTAGTGAGTCTATTGCATCAGCGGTTCCTATGCTTTTTTGATACCCAAATTGTTCATAGCTAATGATATTATGTTTAATTAAGTGTTTAACAAGCCTATGTTTCATTACCTTTTCAAATATCTTAGAGAATACCGGTAACAGTGAAATGGGTCTATAGTTTTTTGGCTCTAATTTTGAACCTTTTTTAAATATGGGTAGTATACGCGCAATTTTATATTGCTCAGGGAAAACGCATTGCCCAATACATTTGTTTAAAAAGACAGCTATTGGGTCAGCTAATATGTCAATGTTATCCTTGATGATACTTATGGGTATTTCATCATGGCCATAAGAATTTTTATTGGACATATTATTAACTATTTTGAAAATTTCTGCCGGGGTTACTTGATCAAACATCATGTTATCGTTTATTCTAGCCGTATTTTCAGTTAAGTAAATTTTAGCTAAGTTATGATCTGAATATTTTAATGTTATTTTATTATCAAATTGATCAGACAAAATGTTGGCTACGTCTATAGGGCTGTCATATAACTTATTGTCTTGTTTGAGTATTATAATATCAATGCTTTGTTTTTTATTAGAATTACGCCTACTATTCACTATTTTCCACATAGCTTTACTAGATTGAGGTGCCTGATCAATCTTTTTCCTAGTGTCCAGTTGTTTTGCACATCTTACTACTTTTCTAAATACCCTCATGTAGTTTTCGCGATATTTTAAAATAGATTTATCACATCTTGTTTTGTCAATAAGACACAAAATGCGCTTGACTTTGCTAGATACTTTAACCCCTTTGCTTAACCAATACCTTTTTCCAGACTTATTAAGATCTATTTTAATTTGCTTCTTTTTAAAAGAATTATCATGTACTTTATTAAATTTTCGTATGAAGGTATTTATACCGAGATTCCAATCTGTGTTTGCCAGCTTTTTCCTAAATTCGGCCATATTTTTTTGACTATATATTCTTTTTTTAATACACTTAAGTTTACTTTTTGTTATTTCTGTTACTTTTTTAACATTTATTGTGCAAAAAAGACCGGCCATCTGATAATCCGTTGTGGTCAATATGGATATCGTTAATATTAGTGTCTGTGAGATTTGTCAATATATTGTCAATACATGACTCTGTGTCATTACGCATGAATGTTGTAGTGTCAAACAAGCATCTAAAATTGTAGCATGTGAGCAATGATAAAAATGACTTTCGGTATTTGTCATCCTTCATCAGATTAATATTGAAGTCGCCACAAATCAAACACGGTTTTTTGAAGAAGTGCTTCAATAGTTGTTCTAGCCTTTCAAGAAAACTGTCAAAATTATTATTCATAGGAGTTCTATAGCAACAGACAATATTAGTATTAAATTCTAAATCTTTAAATCCACATACTTCAAAATAATCTTGTTTATAGAGCTTTTTACAAATTTCTATGTCCTGTATTTGTCTGTCATCGTTTATTAGCACTAATGTACCACCTCTTTTTTTGTTTACTCTTGTATTGTAGGAACCAAGTTTATAGCCAGTCATCTGTAATTGTGATATTTGGATTTCATTTAAGAAGTGTTCACTTATACAAATATAATTCACTTTTGTTTTTAAGTCATTTAAATAAATTTCTAGGTCGTCTTTCTTATTGTTAAGTCCACATAAATTTTGATGGTAGATGGTATATACAGAGTTTATGTTTGTGTTTGTGTCGATATTCGTTAAATGAGGTAAGACAGGATCACTTCGACAACCACTATTTAAATAATTATTATTAACACTATTACTTACGAAATAAGTTACAAGTTAGTTGTGTCGAACTTAATTCATTCAGATCCTCTGAAGTCACCGTGTTATTTGTGGTAAATAGCTGGTCATCACTTCCGCCATGTGGATTTGTCAAACTGTCTTGAGTGCTGAATACTTCGTAGTCATACATTATGTTGGACCTTATTCGTTCAAGGATGTTTTTCCATCCTTGTTTATTTATCTTTCCAGTACTGATGGAAAACATTTCAAGTGATAGGGTGCGATTAGTATCGAAATTATATGCATATCTGTTATTTTTAATCTCCCAAAGGAGGAGATTATTAAAGAGTTCGACTTTATAGTTATATATTAATGCACCACATATAAACGTAGGAGTACACACAACGAGATTGGTGTGGGTATTCTTTTTCAGATACTTTCTTAAGTTATCGAGAATTTCCATATAATCGTCATTCTTCAAATCGTTTTCTCCAATAAAAATTAAGCAGTAGTCGTTGATAGAGAAGGCTTTTAATTTGTGTTCAATAGTGCTCAATGCTTCCTCTGTGAAGACGTTTGGCAGTAAATAATGACAATACTCAAAACTATCAGAGAAAACCTTTTCAATCAACGGCAGAGTTCCTTTTGTGCAGCCGCTGCTTATTATAGCCAGTTTGTTTTTTTGTTTTGGAACTACGCCTGATGATTTTTTAGTGGCAACATCACACACGTTAGATATTAGGGTCCGTTTATTATTGTGCGTCAATGTATTGTCATAAGTTTGATGGGTAGTTTGAGTTTCTTTATTAAGCATCAGAATTTTATTTTCAGCGTTACAACAATTGTTTTCTTGTCGATTATATTGACTCCCATTGGATAGCCACTGTGTAGATGCTCTTGGACTTTTATCGTGGTAAGTGGAAACCGGTAAATCTTGAGTCTTATCACTGTAAGTCTGCTTAATATTTAAGTCTTCAATTAGTGGTTTTGTGAGTGATATTTTATAGCCTTGGTGGGTCTTTCGTTTGCGACCGGAGAGCGGAGTATTATTTTTTCTGTCAATATTAGAAGCCAATTCTTTGTAGGTGTCAATCGTCTTTAAGTATTTTTGTATGTCTGTTTTAAGTCTAAAGTTCTCCGAGTTCAGATTTTCTATTTCTACATGCGCACTGTCTAATTCCTCAGACAATTTTTTGACTCTTTCTTGTAAGTCTACAACTCTAAACTCGCCATTGTCGTATCAAAGAGAGCTGAGTTATCCGCTGTGAGATCGCATAGTGAACTCGTTTTAAAGAGTCGATGGTTGCGGTAGGTAATGTTAGAATCTCTGTTTAAATCCATTGTTCAAAAATAACAGTCCGAATTTTTATTAGAATTTAAGGTAAAAATTTTCCCTTAAAATGAAAATATTTTATTTGTATGACAACACTAGTTGGTACTGTGTCTATGGTTTATTTCCTATTTTTAGTACATCTACTCTCCGCTTGCTTCCTTCTATGGCCCTAGTTTCTTTGTGACAGTTTATTAGGTTGGTAGTATTGATTATTATTTAAGAGCCCTCTGGCGGTCATAAGCAGTATATTATATTAATTTATTTGTGTTGTCAATAGTGATTACGTTTCGTTATACGTGACTTTAGAAATTTTGTTTTGATATCTGACACTTCGGCGCCCTCTGGTGTCTAGTAGCATTGATGTACAATAAGAAGTCCAAAGTTCACAATTTGAAAGTTTTTTTACAAACGGTCGTTATGTTTTAGTTTTAAGGTGATTGGTTTCGTTTATCACGATGAAAAAGAGCACTCAGTGTAGTTTAATAGTCATAGTTCATTCACTCACTGTTTAATGTTTACAGGATAACATTTAACACTAAAAAGCTTCTTTTGATTACGCCACTGTCTATTTTTCGAAACACTTGTCACTGTCTTTTACAAACAATACCAGTTGCTAATTACAGTTTATTCACTAGATTACATTACTCTTTACATAATTTATATTGTTATTTTAATTAATTTCGGATCAAATATACGCGGGCTATATTGACTATATCAGTGTTGCCAACACTATTATATAAATAATCATCGTAAGAAAGAGAACAGCTAACTATAAGAACGTAATTATTAAGGTCACAGTTAAATACAGGAACCAGCACACTAAGGTAATCCAAAACAATTTTTAATTGATTTTAAGTTCTATTATTTTATTATAAAAGTCTAATTTTGAATCGATCGCTGATCGATGGCTGGGATATTCGCATTGATAGATGTAAATACTTACAGTATTAATCAGAACGAAATTATATAAAAAATAACTATTATACATTGACAATGGTATAATTTATTTTCAGCTATAGTATTTAATCTTGAATGCAACAGCGCCACCTATGAGCGCTCCGATGCCAACTATTGACAAAAACTTCTTCAGGACCTGAAACAAAACAATATTCTATTGAACAGCTTGTCATCTAAGGCTATATGACTTGAGGAAGGTCTTCAGTGCGATGTACCGACCAAATAATGCTCAGATTCATAAATAAGTGCGAAACTGAATTTTAAATGCTATCTGGAAGAGAATGACCTCTAGCAGGGTCTAGTAATGACATAACGTCGTGATGCACATAAATTTATTGAGCCATGAAAATTATTTTGGATCCTCCAAAAGAGTTTCACGTCTGATTGTAAGTAGTTGTCTGTAGATGCACCCATTCAAGCTGTATTTTCAAGTGTAGGGCTACATTAAGAAAATGATATCCAAGGTATATATAAGAAATCCGAAATAGATCTTACTCTATCCTGCCATTCGCGGTTTTTGATGCAACGGCTGTAAGGCATGGTGGAGAATGTGACTGAGTTGTACAGAGGCACCCAGAAGTTTGGCAGCATCCAGAATATAAAGTCATCCATCGCTTTACGCAACTTGTATGATGGACGCGTTACCAAATCTCTCATCTGAAAGCAGAATTGCATTTTATAAATGAAAAATACAGTAAAGATAAATTAAATCATTTAAAATTCTTACTAGCTTACTTTATTAACAAGGAATAAGCCGCTAGAAGATGGAAAATTAGTAAGTACTTCATTAAGAAAATATTACAATAATTTGCACAATCAAAGCAGCTTTATAACATACGGATATCATATATGGATTAAAAATTAAACAATGATACTCATGATGAAACTAGTCGGGCTATTTCCTCAAACAATTCCTAATAATTAGTGTCAAGTATTGTCAATTATCTTACCTCAATATAATTGTACATGGCCAAGTCACTGATAGCGAATGTATCTTCCCATCTGGTCTCAGAGAACTCCTTTAGGATCTCAGCAAGATTATCATTGTGTTTCTGGAAGAGCTGATCTAACAACGTACAGTCTTCAAAGCCCGCGTTCATACCTTGACCGTAAAACGGAACTACAGCGTGAGCTGCATCTCCGATGATAAGAGCCTTATCTTCTACGTGGTAAGGACGACACTGCAAGATAGTAGTAACATAAAATTAAGCATTTTATTGAAATAACAATAATGTCTCGTAATAAAATAATCTAAAGAATACGCAAAGACGAAAACGTTTTATATTCATCAATAATTAAAAATATCTGGTTGATATTTTATTATTTCAGAATTCGTTATCAGTTTAATTGCAATAGTTGGCTAAATTTTAATAATACATAGTCTTTGATTAAAAAGTATAAATTATTAAATAGTTAGTAAATATTTTTGCGCCTTGTGAGAAACACATCTCAAGTTTTAATTACCTTAACAGCAACCAAAGGTGATGGCGATACAGCAAAGAAGTCTTCAACAAGTTTCTTTTTACCAATCAATGGTATTGAGTCCGGGAAGTACTTCTCAAAGAAGGCTAGAAGTTTTTCTTCGGTGTCCAAATTCTTGAACTTGGTGAAGGGCATGAAGAGTGTGACGGTCCAAGAACAATCCTGATTCGGTAAAGCGATCATCATGAACTCCCCCCTAGGCCAAATGTGGAGGTAGTTGGCTGGCATCAGAAACTGTAAAATGACAATCCATCATGAATACCAAAAATCTACAAAACTACTAAAGTAGCATTAATGACAATCTATCAACCGTGCACACGTATGAAAATTCACATGCCCATAATTTTCAATAAAACTCTAAAAGTCATATTAATAAAACATTTAACCTTTGAACGTATAATAACAAAACAATGAAATTTCTGAAAGGATAATGTCTCTCTGATTATATTCTGCCACCAAAATGATGATAAATTATTGTAAATACCCCGTTGGGACTCCATTTATCATTGAAACTTCAACGGATTCAATTTTCAACGCATTTTAGTTTGAACTATCAATAGCGTGCCTACTAGACGTGAGTAATATAACAATGAAACCTTTTATTTTACTGCATTTGACGTTAATAACGTGCATCAAATTAGCCAAATGTGATGAAAATATTTCAAGCAAATACAGCTTCAATATAAATCAAAACTACAGTACAGTTCAATGCATAAATAATATCTTAACAAAATATTTCCCATGCGGTACACTAGCGACCTTTGTGAACCCTAATGCCAACTTTGATGAATTAATAAGAATTGCAAATAAAGAAAATATCTGTCACAGCATCATTGCAAGGTCATTCGATGACCGTGACTGGTTCATCTGGACAAATGTATACGTAATTACAGAGGAAAATTTATTTAAATTCTGGATTGGCTTGCTAGATTTAACAAGAGACGTATTCTGGAACCCTAGAGCTAAATTTATCATTCAAATAGATAATTTAGTTGACGAAGGAGCGATTCAGACCGTGTTCAAAATTCTATTGACATACAGGGTATTTAACGTGGTACTTATAAAACCTCTTGAAGAAGACGCAGTTATCTACACCTATCATCCGTTTGATAACAATGGTTGTGGCAGACGTTTTGAAAAAGTAATTACACTCGGCACTTGCGAAAATTCAAAGGATATCACTAGTTATTTCCCGTACGAGATACCTATTCAAATGAAAAGTTGCATATTCAAAGTAGTGGCGACTGATGATGTGCCGAACTTCATTTCCCGTTCAAGCAATTATACGGTTTACGGGAAATATGTGCCAGGGCTAGAGCAGTATGTTCTAGACACAATAGCTGAAAGAGAAGATTTTTCCTTAGATTACAATGTCTTAGGCGATGACATGACCTATGGAGTCGTACTACCGAATCGCACTGCTACCGGATTACTTAAATTCATTGACACTGATAAAGCAGATATAGCCGCTGGAGGATTCATCTTAATGCAGAACAGAGTTGAGCTGTTCGATTACATCTGGGGCTTCAACTATGCAGCTTACTATCTATACACACCAGCAGTAAGCAGTAAAGTTTGGCAAAGAGTATACAAAGAGTTTGGAACGACAACCTGGTCGTTGATTGCTGCATCTATCATTTTCGTCATAATTGTTGGCGAAGTACTAAAAAGAATGATCTCTGATAATACTTTCTCTATTCTTAATTTATGGGGGTACTTTTTCGGAAACGAAGGGAGAGGACTGTCAACGCATAACAAGTTCAGAATGATAATAATTATGTGGGCTTTGTTTACATTTTACATCAGCAACTTTTACAATGCGGCTTTACTAAGTCTGATCACTGTCCACATGCATGAAAAACCACATTCGTTAAGTGTGAGTAACTTGATAACTTTGCCGTACAATCCTTGCATTAGTGACAATACAAGAATGTTTTACGAATATGCCTATCACCACACATTGCCTTCAAATGGAGTTCACAACTGTAGTTCCACTGACAACGCCTTACACTATGTCGCTACCACCAAGAAATATTACGCTATCGAAATGGACTACAGTTATAAGCTCAAGGAGTACCAATACATTAACAGTATGGGTAAACCAGAATTGGATTCTTGGATCTTTTCCAATACCCATGTTATTGTTATGTACCTGGTCCGTGGGTTCCCTTTTATCGAAAAGTTCCAAGACTATGCTCATCGGTTCTATGAAGCTGGTTTAATACAAAAGCATATGACTACAATAAACTTAAGAAGTTTTAGTGTCATTCAAAGACGACCAAAACCGTTCACAATGACTACATTGCTAGATTTGAGAGTTCACTTCTGCATCCTTTTGGGGGGATACGGATTATCCTTCATTTGCCTATTGTTGGAAATTTGGTACAACTATATTAAAATGGAGAGAAAAGTGAAAAAAACTAAGCAGATCAAGTTCTTACATTGAAGAAGATATAGAATATAGTGCACTGATATGATTGTCACGCTACCCTAAACTTGCACAAACTTTTCCTGCAATTAACTTGATACAAATGAACTAAAACCATCGTCATTATAAAAGAAATACATCTTATGGCCCTTATTCCTAAAGATAATAAATATCGAAGACAAAGCGAGAAATAACTGTCGAAGATGGCAAACAAAAAATTAACACACTTTTTTTTTGTGAGCGGAATCGAGCGAAATCATCAAATGACTTCTCCCGCCCAGGGCCGGGCAGGAGGGAGTGTCAGACTCTTACACGGGACTCTTACTAACTAAAAACCCCCCTGTTCCTTCTCCTGCTCTGTGCCGAGGTCGCGGTGCCTCATTGCGCTTACCCCGCAACCCCGGCTGAACATCAGCCCTTTAGGACCCATCTGTGGTGGTCTAATGGCTCTTTGAGGCTACGCGTAGTACGCTCGGGCCTGGTTCTGGTCGGGCGGCGAGCTGCCCTTACTCGCCGACCGCAGGCCCGTGCTTACGGTGGCCGGAGATCATCCCTGATCCCCGACGCCGGTAGTCTCGCCAGTTGCGGCTGCGTGGACGTGAGGAGGAGGATTGCTCCCGCACGCGGGCCGCCTCTCTCTTTGCGAGCATGACTGCTTCACAAAAGGAGGAGACGGCGTCCCAGTTCCTCTCACTCCGCACCATGGCCTCGACTAAGGCCGGGCGCGAGAGGTCGCCGCCGCCTATCACTTCCCTGAGGATACGGCGGTGCTCAGCCCAGGCAGGGCATACCGCTACCGTATGCTCCACCGTATCCTCTAGGTGGTCCTCACAATGACGACACTCGGGCGTTTCCTACCGCTGGATCCGAAACAGGAACCTACCGAAGCTGCCGTGCCCGGTAAGCACCTGCGTCAGGCGGAAGGTGAGGACGCCGTGGCGTCTCTCAAGCCACTCCTCAAAGAGGGGTCTTACCGCTGCTATAGTAGCGTGCCCGAACCCATAAGAGTTTAAATTTCTCCTTTTGGAATTAATAACAGCAGAATAAAATGTAGTTTCAATACTTACACCGCCATTATCAGCTGGTGGAATGCAGAGTTCTAAGTACCCGTGCTCAATGTATTTCTGGCTGAAGTCGAAGAATGGCTGCTTCATCATCGCCTTGCGGACTGCTGAGAAGGCACCGTCAGCCCCGATGATCAGATCAGCGGTTACATTGACCGTTTCATTAGTGTCTGTCCTGTTAATAAAAAAACAAAATTGAATATAGGACGCGTTTTGTGTTTCACTGACACTTTATCAGGCTTGTAAACTTATTTACTTACTTTAGGAATGTTAAAGAGCCTTTCTTCAAATTGGATTCGATCAACTTATGATTGAAATACCGCTCCACGTTTTCATACTGTTCAGATTCTGAAAATATAACGAAAAAACATTAAACCAAAAAAAGCATAGGTGGAATTATGGATGGTGTGCGAAACACTAATATAACACAATAAAAATGGTGACATGGTATCTAAATTAAAAATAAAATTATTCAGTCAGGTAGATAATGATTATACTTGTACATATCTAACTTACTTTTCCTACGCTACTCCTCCTATAGATCGTAGCGTGATGTTTTATAGAATGGACTATCCGAAACAAAAATATTTCTTCAATTCGAACCAGTAGTTTTAGAGTTTAACGCATTCGAACTAATAAACAAATAAACTCTTCAGCTCGATTATATTATTAGTAGGTATTTGTACCTATATTACTATTATTTATTATGTTTTCGGCTTACTCACGTAATAATTTGACGAAATACTCGACTAGTTTCAAGCCATGCTAGAGGCCTATATTCATGAAACTAGTCGAGTATCTCGTCAAATTATTACGTGAGTAAGCCGAAAACATAATAAAGAATTTAGAATGTCTCACGAAAGTTATAATAAAAATATATTACTATTAGTACGTATATCAGTTTATATAAAAGTTTAGGGGTAGCAGGTTACTGCGTGACCGTTCAGTATAAAATATGTATAACTCATCGTGACGTCACAAGACATTTTACATAAATACATCGTCTATGATTCCGTAAAGAAAGGAGTAAAGAGTCTTCTGTTTTTACTTTATCCCAGTTCGTTTGGTAAGTGATATCAGATGAACATTAAGAAGCATCATCCTTATCAATCTAATACTATCTGTTGACTCGATATGTATGAGAAATTGAAGCAATAAAAAAAAACATTATGTCATGTTTGAGTCTTTTGCGTTCCAGTAAACCTGGTGTAATCTCAATTAGAAATTTAAACATACGTATATCTAATTATAATATTATTAATTTCAAGTATCTTTTCTTAGATATTAAGTTGCCTTGGTTATTAAATACATAATACATACTATCTTATTACATGATGTAATAATACACTGGAGATAAATAATTCGCTCACAATAATAACATAATATAGTCAGTAGGTAGGAACATATTAATATGGTTTATTATACTATATTTGTTTGTTTGTTCATCATTATGCAATAAATGTTGGTTTTATTATTTTATAATGTTAATACTAATTACACAGGTACTCTATTACAATACTGGCATAGTGGCAATTTAAACAAATAAAGTCTATGATACTAAAAATTACTAACTAAAAAAATCTACTCTACTTATTAGCTTAACTTATCGAATTTTAATTTCATTTTTTAAATTTGTATTTAAACAATGGTTACTAGTGCATGCTTACCTTGTAAAAGTAGTCCATTTAAGTAATTTCTTCCCACTGAATAGATGTTCTGAAATGTAGAAATAAAAAATATATGAGTACGTACAGTAGGTAAATACTTAATAAGTATACAGTTTGTCTTCCAGCGATTTCCCCCACAGTACTGGCATGAAAAAAAACCTGCTTTTAAAGACTATTTTTTATGTCATACATACCTAAGTCTGCCAACGAGCAGGCGGATTACCTATTGGTAAGCAATCAGCGCCGCCCATGGACTAGTATCTAATACAACGGTGCGTAGCCCGCTCTTGTGGGTTATTAGGGACTTAAGGATAGGGATTTCGGAATTGTGAATGAGGGGGCGGGGGATGGCTCTCCCACACTTATAATCTATCTCTGTGCCAAATTTCATTTAAATCCATTCAGTGCTTATTACTCTTCGTAAAAGTAGAAAAAAAGTGACATTTATTATGTTATAGATATTATATAACCTTTAAAAAGAATAACGAACATTTTATCTCATTTGCTTTAATATTTATATTTAACCTTTCTAACACAACTAACAAAATATGATAAGATAATAATATGAGTAAGTAGCTAGTTTTTTCACATACTTACTTGATAGCAGGACTTTTAAATTGTTACTCAAACCAAACAATTAAATTAAAATCATAACTGGGTATGAAAATTAAAAATATATTTAGTAGTAACCTAACGAAACAACATTGAACAGGTATTTTGTTGTCTATCAAAATAATACGTATATAAGTAAAACGAATTGAGTTTTAAATACGGTGATAATACGTCACCGCTTTGTAAACATAAAATGTTCTAAATCGTAATGTCACAATTTGAATTTATTTAAGTTATCATTATACCTAAGTCTGTAAGAATTGTAGGTACATATATCATTACACAACCTGACGTCACTTTTGTGTAAAAATATACCCAGTATTAAATGCAATTTAAACTTGTTCAGAAAACTACTCATAAAAGGCATATGATGAAAATGAATTCAAGAATCAATATTTATTTGCATTGAGTGTAGATAGATTATGATTCTATCCTAGGGTAAAATATTAAATTAATAAAATTTTTGTATTGTTTTGATTTTTTTGTAAAGTAATTACAGAGATTGTTAAGTCTTGATGGGTTGTAACTTACTCTGATCAAAATATTCAAGTGATATTGTATTATAGACACGATATTGTATTAAACTTTATTGTAATATACGATATTTTAGAACTGTTTGTTAAAAAAGTTATCTATGTATATCTATAATTCGAATCGACCCCAGTCCCAATTATTACGACAAACAAAATTCGTACATAAGAAACAATAGAAAATCAGGAGCCAATAATTCTTAAAACTTTAAAAAAAACAAAGCTAAATCGCAAAAGCTGCCGCAGTTAAAAAGTTAGCCTAAAACATATAACCAACCTGCTTAGTATTAGCATCATAAGGTATAACGTAGGTAGACCCATCTGTTCTATGGATACGTCTTCCCGACATTGGGATTCCATGTTCCTTGATCATGTGTGTCTCCAGTCCCACATCCTTCAGAGCTCGTCTTCCGCGTACTGACAGAGCCAAGTTGATAGACCTGCCTCGAGCTTGAGGTGTTTTTCTGATGTCTGAAAAGAAAATTTTAATGTTTATTTTATTGTATTTTTTTAGTACTAAACTGCTTTGTTTAATGTATTATTTTTGATTTATTAATATATAAATGAATTTTGTTCTGTTTCGCCGTGTGAGTGAGAATACCGGAGGCCAAATCCTGCCCCTCCCCCAATCCCGTAATCCCCAAATCACTAATCCCCAAAAGGTCGGCACCGCACTCGTAAATTCTCGGTTGTTGCGGATGTTCATCAGGTAATCCGTTTGCTCATTTGTCAACCTATCACATAAAAAACGCTATGTTTTGTCCGAAATCTTTGATATAGACAGAAGAAAGTTATTATAAAAGAAAATTTTAGAAAGGTAGAGGGCGTATTTTAGATTTGGAAGTAAAGAGGGTTTCGGTACTTACTGTGGCGGTTTGCTAAAACAAACAAATGACTAACGCTGAGTTATGATATACTAACACCCGGTTTCCGAAAGGCCTATGCCTTGCCTATGGCCAATGTTAAAATCAATTTAATATCTTGTAAAGTCATCTGATTGGTTGACTGAATTATCAACAACAAATCAGATGACTTGACAAGAGATTTAACAGGAGTTTAGTTAATTTTAGAGTTGACAAGCCTTTCAGAAACCGGATGTTATAGTTAGTATACTTATATATAGTTAGTATTTATAGCATATATAGGTAAGTGTCTTTCATAAAAAGCACCAAAAACATACAATTAAATCTAATAAAATAAAGAGCTTCCTCAATCCACATTCAATAACAAAGCCGTTGACCCTAGATAACAGCAAGTTACTGATATCGACGTAAAGGTGATGACGACACATCGCAGCTTGATTTAAATAAATTGCATGTGGAGTAAAATCTCTAACAAAATAGCAGCAATGACATATTTTTTTATGTGATAGTTCGGCAAACGATCAGACGGATTATCTGATGGTAAGCAATCAGCGCCGCCCATGGACACCCGCACTTAGTCCATTAAGTTCAGGGTGTTCATCTTTTTATGAGCAAATAGGTTAGCCTGATGATAAGCAATCAGCGTTGCTTATGATCCCTGCCTGACCAGAGGTAAGGCGTTGCTGGCCTTTATTGAGTCCTTAATGATAAAAAACTAAAGAAGCATTTCAAATGTGTTAAGTTTCTACTTAAGTTAAAAAAAAGAAAAGTAACAACTAGATCCTTCCTAGTGTTTTGTGATACGAGTAGTTCTTTCGCGTAAAAAGTTATAAAGTTTATACCAACCTTCCCGGAACTCATATAGGCGAACGCGATGACCTCGTTTTGCTAGATACAGCGCTTCTAAAGACCCCACCTGGAAAAACAAGTAATGAAAATAAAGTCAAACTTGAACCGAATGAATCTAAACTGAACTCTTTACTCAGTTTGCTCCAGTTTTTCTTATATCACACGAGTTTTAGTAGTAGTAGAAGGCAAAACTAATTTATCCTTTTACTTTTCTAAAATTTTCTTTCATAACAACCTTCTGCTTTTTTGCTGATTTTCTTCTTGCGTAATAAGAACATTCTGCCGAACACAACCAAATATTAATTTCGAAAACTGTTCAGCCGTTCTCGAGATTTGCGATAATGATTCTATTTAGCGATTCAGTTTAATACCTTATTATACTATGAATGTGAAAGTTTTAAGAATGAATGGGCGGATGCTTACGATATTTTGTTACTCTGTCACGTTAAAACTACTGAATGGATTTCGATGAAAATTGGTACAACAATAGATTATAGTCTGTAAAAATAAACAGGTCACTTCCAGTAGTATTATATTAGATAATTGAGTCTTTCTAGCAAAATGTAAACCTAGGCAGATACAAAATCAAAGCAAGTAGGTAAACTTCGAATGAGAAAACTGAGCAAAAAATATCCTATTATGATTTCCTTTAATATACCAATTAAAGACAATTTATGTTATGACTATGCGAGATATTTATTGTGAAATGGAAAACAAAACGTCAGGTTGGATGTTACTCAAAGTCATCAAACCTAATAAAAAACCCATTACTTACTTAATTTACTACAAGTAAATTAATAAAAATATAAGAAATCTTTTAAACATAGAAAGAATGAGTCAGGTGCTTAATTAACTAGATACGGAATACTTAGGCAAGTAGTAACTTCTGTAATTATTATTTTTTATTTAAGCATGGGAGCGCCATGCTTCGGCACGAATAGGTCGGCTCGACCGGAGTGATACCAGAGCCTCACAGAAAACCGGCGTGAAACAATCACAGCATTGTAAGTAATAGGGTATTTAGCCATTGGAGATGTACCCATAAAAATGAGACGATTAATAACAAATTTTATGTTTACTTCGATTTTGTTCTATTGCTATAGGCTGCTTTTTATCAACACAGGACGCGGACGAAGCCGCTGGCGGAAGCTAGTCTAGTATTGAGTTGACTAATAAGTACTTACGTGAATTAAGTAAAATAACAATTAAGATTATTATTTTATCTTTATTGGATCTTAAAATCAACTTTACATTAAGATCCATAAGATACCTGCATTTAACTATTAGATTATAATGTTACCACTGCAAAAATATTGATATTCTATTAACTTTATCGTTGTTTACATCAAGAACGATATTTTGTTACCTAGTCAACTGTAAAAGTTCTATAGGTACGTAATAAAATTTGATTCGCCCGATTAAGTTATTGTTTGCTTATCTGACACGTATTTTGTGATAGAAACCGGTAACATTCCATTCCTGGACTATGAGACTCCCTTACATAATCGCATACAAATCCTTTTTTGAGGTGTTAAAATCATCAAAACATTTCTCTCGCTCTGTGTAATGGAGAAAGGGTGTCAGACTCTAACTGATTAAGAACCATCCCTTTCGTTCTCCTGCTCCACTTTCCCCGCAACTCCGGCTGAACATCAACCTTATTGGGCCCCATCTGTGGTGATCTGTTGGCCCTTTGAGGAGTGCTCGGAACGCTACGCGCCGTACGCTCGGGTGGCTCGGGCCTGGTTCTGGTAAGGCGGCGAGCTACCTTAGTGCCGTTCGCAGGCCTATACTTTTGGTGACCGGAGATCGTCTCGCGAAAATCTCCGCCGACAATCGCCTGGCGATTTATAAGCGTAGTTTAAAAGATTTTGGTTTCAAAAAAAGCGCTGCTAATCGGACTCCGTGAAATGCACACTCACTCCCAGCGCTCATAAAATCACAATACCCGCGGGAATAGTTGCGGTGGCTTAAATATTCTACATAGCCATCACCGCTTTTAAACCTATACCTTTACCTATACAGTTAACAACAAATCATAAAAACATGACGGAAACTTATCATTTTTCTTATCACTGTGTCGACTTCAAACATTATTATAAACATTGCGACATACTGGAAGTCAAGGTTGCAAGATCTTAGAGCTGCGAAATAATTAGGTAACTACTTGTAATATACCAATTCTTATTTAATCAGAATACTATCACATCAATAGCCCACAAATCATTCATCAGGTTAGTGGTGCCTTTTTTCGAATTATGTACTCACGCCGCTCTGATACGGTAAAAGAAAACATAGTGAGGAATATTGTTGTTAATCCTATCAAATCAAATTCAAATAGCAAATCGAATCGGAGATCCTATAAATGGTTTTATCTCACTACAACGTTGGGTTTCATGTTTTGTATTTAGTTTTAAGTGCCTAGATTTATTAGAGCAAAATAGCTGTCGAACAAAAAAATTAACTCTGCTTGCAAATATCAGTCAGTACCTATTAATAAAAATCTACCCGCAGACTCAAAATTAAGTACCTAACCAAGGATATTTTTATGAATGAATATAAGGTAGGTACCTACTTACCTATAGCAGATAATTTTTAAAATGACATCCAGTCATAAAATTTAAATTAAAAAATTGTATTTTTGATTTATATATTCTATAAGAACACGTTTATTTCACGTAGGTACCTACTTCCTTATTTCACATTTACGTACACAGTCATAATACCTAATTTAATTTTTAGAAGATTTTGACCGCTGTAATTATGTATGATGAAATGAACAATTTCACTTACCAATCCAGCACCAACAACAATCACATCCAACTGCTTTTTATTAGAATATCCATTCTGCATCGCCATTATTACACAAAAACAACTTTATTCACAGAACTAAAAAAATATTGAACAATATCACTAATAATAGAATAAAATATTTAAATATCGTAATTAAAATTATTTCCGTGATAAACTTCGCGTCTATAGTGTGGTGTGTATGTTATGTGGTCTAATACATGAATGAGGCGGCTTTGGAAAAAAATGTAGCTTTGCCGACGTGCGTGCGCGCTCCGCCTCAACTCGATAAAGTACGGTTTCATTGACATTTGATCACAACTCCACGAGAGATCAATAAAATAAATTATTCTCAATTAAGAGCGTTTACGCGCAAGGGTTTTCATACAATGTTTCAAGTAGGTAAAAGAAATGGAAATTACTAGATGAATAGATTTTAATGAAGTTTTGCACTTACCTAAGTACCTACTTACTTACAGTTTGTAAAGTGCTAACAAGATATTATTTTCGAAAATGAGAAGTTATAAGTGTGTGATTATTTGATTGAACTTGTTTAGAAACATAAAATTGTCACACTATTAATCACTCTCGAAAATATTACGTATTTAAAATTTTACACCATGATAATAATTAGATATGTTGCGTATAAGAATGAAGTGTTATTAAAATCGAATTAATTAGTAGTTTCCATGATTTTTGACTTGAAGTATTTTATGAAAACCTAAGTCGCGTAAAGACATTTGACGACAATTACAATGATGTTAATCGTTTGATATTTGAGTAGGTAATGCTTCGTTGTAAATAGGTTGTGGGTCTATTTAGATACGACTGTAAAATATTGAGTAAGTAATATTGGTAGGTAATATAATTAACTAGTTAGCCGTTTGACCAGGTAGCTAGTTTGACCGCTGACTAAGGTTTGACTCGCTAGTCTGCTTACTCTTTTGGTCGTAGCGTGATGTTTTTGCTCAACCCAGGAGTCAAGATAGAAAGTAAGAAGTTCATACCTAATCAATAGGAAGATAAGTATTAAAGCAGATAAGTAAGTAGATAAGTATATCTCGGAAGTCCTATATTTTTGATTAACGGTACATTAATCAACAAATTGATTGATGATAAGATAGGTTATATTGGTTATAAAGTAATTAATTATGAAATTGCTAGCTAGCAAACTAAAACAGCCATCGTTTATGAAATTAAAAATGGAAAACTAAAGATTTTAAGTCACTCAGATCCAGAACCACAATTTGAAGTTGAGAAATCAGTTATCTAGGCTCTACTAATTATGCAATCAAAGTAAAATCAGGTTTGATGTTTTTAAAGTGACCGCGACTCAGGAGATAATTCTCAAAATAGTAAAAAGGCTAAGTACGTTTATTCTTAGAAAAAAACGTAAGCATAAAACCTCCGTGCATAAAACGCATCTACTTGACCTCTACCTATAGCCTACTAAAGTTACGACTCACTTATCCCTTCTAATAAATTAGAAACTTGAAGTTATTTGATACCAAGCCACAGTTTAGGGTTACAGGGGCTTGAATAGACAGCATGGTTTCGGAATCATATTCACTTCAAAAGGGGAAAATAATGCTTCCATCGCACCTACTTATAATACTACGAAGGGAAAGTATCGAAAATGTGACAACAGTTATATAGATATTATATAAAATCTATTTTCAAGATTCCCGTGTCTTGAGTCTCAAGTCGGTTTATCTTAAATTTATTAAGATTTTCCGTTTTATGAAAGTAAGATATTATTATGCTTTTTGGAATAAAATTCTAAGTATAGGTTTTATTGCAATTACTTACCCTAGTGTTAACTAGATACCTACTACCTACCTACCTACCTAGCTACCTACTGGGCGCTGGGGAGTTCGTTTCTCTGAGTACCCAGTGATCCTATATTTTTTTTGACTTTGACTTGACTTTAAATTATTTAATTTGTGTTTTCCTAAATGAGTAATAACTAAGTTGTCAGCCAATTGGGGTAATGGGGCTTTGAGGGTTGGACCTCTAGGGATTAGGGATTCGGGATGAGGAAGGGGAAGGATTGGATCTCTAGTATCCTTACTCATACGGGAAAACACTACCCAAGTATTGACGCACGCCGATTTCTGTGAAACCTGTGGTCTACTTCTGAGTTCAGTCGAACAGGCAGATCAGCATTTAATCTTGTTCAAATGTGTAGAGGATTAAAGTTTAAAGTAAACGCATAAAGAAAATTCTATTCATTTATTTTTACTTATAATAAAATCCATTTTTAATTCGACTTAGCTTATCTTAAACTTTAAATAATATATCAAAATCCTTACATTCCCTCTTATTTTCACATTTTTATCAAATCAAATCACCAGAAATCTCACAGTGAAAATTACATTTTCGATTTCTTTGTTTACTGTTCGTAGTACATAGTCATATTTTTTTTCATACAAATCTTTCGCGCTAACTGCACAACAAAAAATTATGTACAAAATTGAGAAATACATGTCTTCTCTTCAGCATTGTTTTGACGACAACATACTTTTATAAATGATAAAACACAAAATGAACTGTTTGTAGATATGAATAAGGTGTTTTGCCTTGCTTTTGGATCTTCACTACATAGTATAAAAAAGTCGGTTTCTCGGTCCATATATATGCTTAAATCGTTAAAACGATGCAACGGATTTTGATTCAGTTTTTTAATAGATAAGAGAGATTGAAGAGGTTAATTTTAATGTAAATGTAATGTAGTTAAATAGCGGAGAAATTTAGTATAAGCATTGCACTCGTACCAAGCCGGGGCCGGTCGCTAGTTTCATATAAAAGAAGAGGAAAAGACTGTTATCTTTTTATATATTTCGATATGTCCCACTAGTTTCCGTATCATTAATGTACTAGCCGGTTTATTAAAAAAAGACTGCTCGTTATATCTATAAATATGTAATAATAATTATTCACTATACCTAGATATGTAGTAAAAATATTCAAAATTATTCAGAATCCGACCTTGACTTTATTTTTATCATTCAAATTTTTGTTCAATTTGCATACACTAAAGGTTTCTGCTCTAAGATAAAAGATTTACGTCATTAAGTTTTATTTTTAAAAATGTTATTAAAATACACTATCAGTCAGTATTGGATAGAATTAATTTTAAAGTAGTGCTTTGTTTTTTAAGAGAAATTTCAACCACAATGTAAGAGTAAATAAAGTTGAGTTTAGACCAAAAGTAATTCGGGGATTAAATATTTTTCCAAGAATAACGAATAAAGAATTGATTATCAGACATATTATGTGCTATACATAACTTAACCTAAACAACAAAGAAATAAAGTTCTTTTTTCTATATCATTTAGATGCATTGCAAGCAAAGCACTTAAAAACAGATCTGCCCATTAAAATAGAAACTAAAGATCGCAAGATTTTTCTCATATTACTTACAAAGGAACATAGACTCAAACTGAACATAGTGAAAGTGAATCGGAGTTCTTTAGATAAAATACATTTAGTGAATGAAAACTCAACCAAACTGTAAAGTAATAAAGTTAACTTTCCTGTCGCAGTTTCTATTAACCTAAACCTACAGGAGAAATAAAGCTAACTTTTCTGACAAACTGTAAATATTAATGGTCTTTCAAACAACATTGAACCTAGACATAAAACAAATAAAGTAAACTTTCCTTAAAAACTCATATTACTAGGCATCGATGAGATATCTTCGGAGGGACTTTGGCTCGAGCTGAAAGAGCTAAGAGTCTCTCTTGTTTCTTCTTTAATCTTCAAATGTTCTGTGCTCGAAGGGGGGCGGGACAATGACCTGTCTTTATCTTTGTGCTCTTTCGACTTATCTTTGCTGCTGTGCTTGTGTTTGTGCTTATGCTTGTGCTTCTTCTTTTCCTTCTTCTTTTTCTTTGCCTGCAATTAGTAATATGGTTAAATTTACTATAAGTATTAGGGTATACTTAGTATACCTACATATGTTTAAAACATACAACACCGAAAAACTTTTTTTAATGGTATATGGCGGACCTGCTGATCACCTGAATGTAATCATTCGCTGCCGTCCATAGACCGCAATTCCAATAAGTTTAGCAAGCGCTCCCGGCTTTTTGGGATTTTCGAGAATTGCGGCAATTGGGGATGGGTAAGTTCGGACCTCCAGTAACCGCACTCACACGTTAAATCACAATGTAGTATTACTTAATTTGTTAATTCTTAATTGATTTTCTATGAGGCCGTGGCATTGCTCCGAGCTAGCCCATTTGTTTTAAAAATGGCTCTCCCACACTAAACTAAGTCCGAAGCCACGTATTAACCTTACACCCGTGGTAATTCGAAACACAATAGAAGAATAATAACTTAAAGTTTGATGTATTTGAATAGATTTCTTATCTCTCACCTTAGGAGCTCCAATTTCATCCTTGTCGTGCCTGAACATACCCGGTTCGAAGCCGACCGGGCCAGAAGTACCGGGTATACCCGGCAATGCGACCGCGTTATCCGTCATAAACTCACGTTTGTTGTCATCCTATACAAATAAATATGACGTTAATAAAAAGCACACAGTATCATACAAACTAAAAGGAACTCTATTTCCTATTTCATAAATCTCATTTCTCTTACCAAGCACACTGCTCAGTGGCATTGACTGTAGAAACTAAACTAAACTTTATTTCTTAACACAAAATATTATAACTTACATTGAACATTCGTACATGTTACCTAATGATACAAAACTAGACAAAGTAAAATATTTTCTATCTAATACAATATAGAACTGAAAATAACTTAAACTCGTATAAGCAATTCAAAACACAAGGCAATACTATATGTGTGCGAGAAACTTCACAAACAAAAATGAGCTCTATTTCCAAGAGCATAGATTTAAAACTTATAGGAAACTGTAAGTTTTAAATCTATCCATCTATCTATCTTAGTCAGTCGATTCTCGAGTAACATACTACAAACAAAACTATACCAGCAATAAGTAGCCCTATTGATTAAAACACAAAGGTGATTATTACTTACACTGAACACTCGTATAGGTAACTCAGCCGGTACGCTGGTAACATCAATTTTAACGTCTTCTTCTTTGATATTGGACAGAGGAACTGGAAGCATATCGTCTAGGGGCACGTCCACCATTCTGTCCACTGAGGATAATGGTAGACTTGTGTCCATCGGTACTTCGGGCTCGTATTTAACCTGGGGGAAAATAGGTATTTTGAATAATGTTGAGTGAGCCTGATTGGTTAGTTGAGGAG